GGAACCAAAAACCCATTTTCTTTCTCACTTTCTCTGGTCGCCGCTTCCACACACTTTCCTCCAAAATAGCCCTTTAATTTGATATGGGGGTACCTCAAAAGCAATGTCCTTTGCCTGGTTCACACTCTGCCTGCTACTTCTCTCTCCAGCACAAAACTTAGTTTCCCGGAATGTTCTTTGTCTTTGTAGTGGCCATTTTAAGACCACTGCTGCAGCTTGCCTTCGGGAGGGATTTTCCTGTCAGGGATGAGAGTTGCGGCTCTCCTCAACCCTCCAGGTGATTTCCCCCTTCTTCACCACCCCACCAGGGTGGTTCCAGTCCCGATCGGGACCTTCCAGCAAGAGAGCTCGGGCGAAACTGTGCACGATCGCGGATTCTGCATCGACACCGACGAGGAACAAACCGGAAGTCAAGTATTCCAGACATTGACCACTCTGTTGCTGAAGTGGTATTTTCTGCAATCAAGTTTGGTGCAGTTAACCTTGAGTTTGTATTTATTGTGTGCTCTTGTATTGTTATGGTTGAAGCTGAAGTATTCATTGACAGGTAGGACGTTGCAATGTATGATTTTATATAGTATACTTAGATCAGACTGAAGGCAGCGTAGTTCTAGGTTTTCTAGGTCTAGAATTTCAAGTCTGGTGGCATAAGGTATTCTGCAACGAGTAGAGGAATGGAGAACTCTTCTTGTGAAATATTTTTGGACTTTCTCAACTGTGTTAATATCAGATACGTAATGTGGGTTCCAGACTGATAAGCTGTATTTGAGTATTGGTCTAGCAAATGTTTTGTATGCTCTAGTTGGTAGTGTGATATTACCAGAGAAAAAGCTACATAGGATTAAGCTAACAACTCTTAATGCCTTTTTGGCTATGTACTTACAGTGGGCTTTAGCACTTAGATCATTAGATCAGCTGCCAGCTGCATTGCACCAGTAAGCATAATCGAGCAAGCTTCCTCCAAAGGGTTCCTGGTGCAGCTCCCACCAGTGATGTCAATCAGCAGAAGCAAAGAACCAGTACATCTCTCTCTTGTCACTGCCAACAGCCTGAAAGGAAGTCTGAATCCTGAAGTCTAGCACATTGGATCAAGGTCTGACTCAGTAAACTGGTGCTCCACCAGAGTGTGCCAAACATAACCAGATAGGCTCCAGAGTCTCCACCAAAACACCATGCCTCTCATGCCTTCCTCCAACAATCCCACACATTGTAACCCAGCATTTCCCATCCAATACCCTACAATAATCCAAATTGAAATATTTTTGAAACTTGGCAGCCATCTGCTTTTTAAAACTGTGATCATTTAATGAGATTATATCCAGAGTTTACCCTTAAGGACTTCCTCAATTGCAAAGAAACCATTACTGATGTATGAACAATAAAAATACAGTTGTGCCTCTGTGACAATCAGTTTCCATTCAAGTAGTTGTTCACATTTTTAAATTCAAATACCTTCTATTTTATCAGCATTGACTGCAGTTTCTATGATATGCTCCCTTTATGTAAGCTGATTTTGACTCTAAATTCATTAGCAATTGTGAGAAGTACATAAAAATGAATCAACAGACTTTTGATAATCTGATCCATAGGATGCTTTATTAGGAAAATACTGCAGTGTGGACCCCTTGACTCTAAAACCATGTTTAGGAGAGAAGGAGACACCCCCATTTAGTGAATACAGCTTATATAGGTTTATCAAATCACATGGTTACATAACACTTCCTGTTTCCCATATATGGACATTATACAATGGTTTCATAAGAAAGTTCCAACCTTCCATGGACAACTCCCAACATTGTCATTATAGTTAGATTTCCTGTTATTCAAATTCCAGAAGATTATAAGAGAACATTAATATCTCTTAATGTGATTTATAATGTCAGAGCACCCCAGCACATACCTCTAACTTATGCCAAGTACATAGTTTTGCAATCTTGTATTTTTTTCTAGCAGAAAACACGTTACGTAAATGTTCTGAGCTTTAAAAGTTCAGACTGTGAACACAAAATGGTTTCAGTTCGGCTCTTTATATTCTCAGGTGTAATAACCAAATTTTCAGCATTCATTCAGAATTCTATTTTGATCTATTGTTTGTTGTCCAGGAAAGCCATTTGATGTCCAAAGAGTTATAACTGCTGCTGTTTCCAACATCATAGTTTCTATTCTACTTGGGAAGCGCTATGACTATGAAGATCCCACATTTCTACGACTTCTGGAAATAATCACTGAAAATATACATCTTTCAGGGACCCCAAATATATTGGTAATCTAATATTTCATTTGAAGAAAAAATATGTGAGGTGTAGGCAGATGTACGTCATTTTGCTTTATTGCTAAGCAAAGCATGTTGCTTGTCATAGCAAGATTGTGTTCAAATAATAAAATGAACATGATATCATGATTCAAATTTTATATAGTTGCATTGAAATATCTGATGTAAGTATGCAAGTCACTTTTTTCGGCTGTGACATCACTGACTGTCTCTTCTTTCTATAAGCAAATGTCCATGTTACTTTTGAATGCACTCAAATTGTAGGGTTGGCAGCCTTCTATTGAAAATGCCATTTCAATCTCTTTCCCTCTCTCTCACACACAAACACACTTTACTCCACAACTCAAAAAGTACTACATAGTTTCCTTGATTTGAACTTGCATTCAATTTCTTAGATTGACCATTCTCATTGCTTGTTTGGGAATCAACAGGATGCGAGTATGAGGAACTCATTTAAGAATATATTGAAAAATGAACATTTCTTCTTCCAATAATTGTATGGAGGCTTAGTTCATGAGATTTGGGCTTTAGTGAATTTGAAATATTGACTATGTATAGCTTCCTCAATTATCTGCTTTTGCTTATTATTGGGGTTTATTTTTGTTGACTTATGGAACATCATTTTCATTAAAATGCTTTAAGATGTCTGACAACTGTATTCAGATTATTCAATGTTCTTAATATATATATATATTTCTTCATCTTTCTTTCAGCTATATAACATATTTCCTATGTTGGGCTTCCTTTTGGGTGCACGTAAAAAAGTAACAAATAACAGAAAGGAGTTCCATGATTTCTTACAGACTACCTTCATAGAATATGTCAAAAATCTTGATGAAAATGACCCAAGGAATTTTATTGATTCATTTCTTATTCAGCAAAGAGAGGTAATGGATTATTTTATATATGCCTTGAAGTACAAGTGTTTTTTAGTATTTTTACATGTGCTTGGTGAAAATTCTTGCTTTAGAAATTTGTGTGTGTGTGAACAGGAGGGGGGACCAAATTTGTTGTCCTTTCTAATCATTCTTTGTTTCAGAGCCTGCAATCATGTCAATTACAGCCAATTTACTGTGTTCTTGTTATTATTGTTGTTGTTTGCATTGAAGAGACCTTCAATATGTATATTCTGATCAAACCTTTGGTGGGCCAGTTGATTTTTTTTTTTGATTTTTTTTTTGGTATAACCATTTTATTGTATATAATCAGGTACATCAGGGAGACAGCAGAGAGTGTGGGCTGGAGCAGGCCTGGAATAAATATTAAAATCTTCAGACTGGGGAAGAGATAGTGGAGGATTGCAAGTTGATTTTTGCAGGGGATGGAGGGCAGCTAATGGTTGGTGTCCCTTCTTTTCTGGCTATAGTCTGAAAACATTAAGATGTGATTTCAAAACATGAGACCTAAAGGTCCTGCTTTTTCATATCAGATTGGATGTAGGAAAAACATCAATTATCTGGGACTTAACCACTGGCCTGGCACTTATTATGGAGGCCTGGCAGAGAGAACTGGAGATTGTTAATGAAATTAATGAAATCTTTAAGAATTTTACTGACTGGACATTTCATCTGAAAGAATGTTGTGTTCAATTCTGGGACCTTATTTTCAAAAGGCTAATGATAAGCTAGAGAGAATTCAAAGGCTAACAGCAAAGATGATTCAGGAATGTGAGGACATGCCGTATGAGAATAGGCTGAAGGAACTTGGGATGTTCAATTTGCAGAGAGAAAAATTTAATGAAGACATGATAGCTACATTCAGAGGTATTAGGAAAAGTTACCCAGAAGGTAGATGGGAGCTATTTTTCAAATTTCAAAGTAGGACTAGAAATTTCAGGTATAAGTTGAAGCTATCTAAATATTGTTGAAATATAAGGAAAATATGGTAGGATCTGTACAATAATGGAATCATCTGTCTACTGTATGCAGCTTGTGAGTTCTCTATCTTTGGAGATTTTCTTAAAGACTAAAGTGATCTTTCACAGATGGGCTAATTGATATTCCTTCAATGCTGCAAAGAGTTGGAGAAGATGGTTACTATGATCTCTTCTTACTCTACAATACTTTGATTGTATGATGATAATTTGCTTGATTTTGCATGTTTGCTGCTACCAAATGTAGACAAGACAGAATAATGGTACAGCTAGGGTGCCTTCCCACTTGCTACATGAAGCATATATATAATCCTGAAGACTTGGAATTTAACCCAAACATAGTGAAACTCCTGTTGTACTTTGAAGAGAACAATGGTTTATTTTATGAAACACCTGAAAAATAGCAGTGTTCTTTGAAAATGTTGTTGAAGTCCAAGCTGATCAACAATAAATCGTTATTATGGCCATTAGATCAGAAAACACTACATAGAAGCACATAGACCTAAAATTATAGATAAGAGTAAAAAGTAGGCATAAAATACAATAAAATGACATAAAAATAACATTAACGTGATAAAATAAAAATAACAACAATGATCACCAAGTTCAATGCTAATCTTCAGTCGTTTAGCATTAGATCTTCCCATGCTATGTAGCATATCGGGCAGCAAGGGACTTCTAGTACTTTTGGTTTGGGATGACTACATCAGTGTCTTCCCATATGATGTTTAAAATCTTTAAGTTGTCTATGAACATTCTTCACCATATATTTTGAGGGCATTCTCATGATCGTTTGGCACCAAAGGGGATCCATCTCATTGCCCATCTTGGAAATCTGATTATTCTCCATAATGGAGTATATGATCTGCATGTTCAAGTTTTCTGGGTGCATTATGTTATGTACAGTTGAAAGTCGAAAAATTAGAATACCGTGCAAAAGTTCATTTATTTCAGTAATGCAACTTAAAAGGTGAAACTAATATATGAGATAGACTCATTACATGCAAAGCAAGATAGTTCAAGCCGTGATTTGCCATAATTGTGATGATTATGGCTTACAGCTCATGAAAACCCCAAATCCACAATCTCAGAAAATTAGAATATTACATGCAATCAATAAAACTAGGATTGTACATAGAACAATATTGGACCTCTGAAAAGTATAAGCATGCATATGCACTCAGTACTTGGTTTGGGCCCCTTTTGCAGCAATTACTGCTTCAATGTGGCATGGCATGGAAGCTATCAGCCTGTGGCACTGCTGAGGTGTTATGGAAGACTAGGATGCTTCAATAGTGGCCTTCAGCTCTTTTGCATTGTTCAGTCTCATGTCTCTCATCTTTCTCTTGGCAATGCCCCATAGATTCTCTATGGCGGTCAGGTGAGTTTGGTGGCCAATCAAGAACAGTAACCCCACGGTCATTGAACCAGGGTTTGGTGCTTTTGGCAGTGTGGGCAGGTGCCAAATCCTGCTGGAAAATGAAGTCAGCATCCCCATAAAGCT